GTCTAGAAGTCTCCCCAAAGCCTCATGTGGTCACAGGTGGGGCTTTTTCAGTGGTGGCTGAATCTAGTATGTGGCTAGTTTGGGATTGTGTGATTACTAAGTCAGTCCACTGATTGGTCTGACATCGTCCTAAGTAGCTAAGAGTATAAAATAGTTAAGTATAATAAGATAGAGTATAAAAAGGACAGGAAGAAGCTGCTAAGGCCCTTGCTTGCTTTGCCGCCTTCTGCATGCCATGAACTGTTTTTCCTCTATGACATCTGTCTGCCATGCCACCCTACCATAGAGCCAGTGATTTACAGATTGAAACTTCTACAAACTGTGAACTAAATAAACGTTTCCTCCCTTAACTTGTAGGTGTCCAGCATTATGTCTCAGCAGTTAGAAAAGTAACTAATAACTAATAACAGAATAACTAATTCATTTTATAATTTAAATGAACAGTTAAAATAGATCAACATGTTTTAAAGTATACAAAAGCAGTGACAGCAGTGATAGTGATGTTAACATCAGAGAACCATCTAAGAAACTCAATTTGGTGGAATTCTCTTGTTCATATGCACCACAGTTTCTGCCCCACAATTGTGACTAATTTAAATTTCTAAACACAAGCGGTCAGAAAGTGATACTACAGCACTGTCAGGTGCTCACGTCATGGCAGCCAGAAAGCAGAACATGAAAAAAGGAGTCAGGGAGGAAGATAAACCTTTCCAGCCATGCACTCAGTGACCAACTCTTTAGACCAGATTCCACATCCTAACAGCAGTCAGTTCTAAGCCACCATAACCCAACCATCTTCCTAAAGCCCCACTTTAAGAGTCCATGAGGCTTTGTGGGGACTTCAGATAGAAATGATAATATTCTGCCCCTGACCCCAAAAGACCCATGCAAAAGCCATTTAGTCCATCTCTAAAAATTGCCACATCCTAACAGTTCCAGCATTGCTGGAAAGTCCAAGTCCAAAGTCTCCTGAGACTCAAAAGCAAACTCTTAGCTGTGAGCCCCTGTACGATCAAAAGGAAACTAAACGTTACCAACTACAGTATACAGGGCAAACATTCCCATCCAAAAACAAGAGACAGGAAGATAGAAAGGAATGGAACCACAGCAAGACAGAAATCCAGCAGGACAAGTCGTGTAAAGACAGTAAGCGACAATAACTTTCTAGTTTCCTGGTTTCTCTTATGGCCAAGTATTTGTAACTCAAGTTTAGAGATGAGCAGTTTCCTTTTATCCAGGGTATAGCTGTAAAAATGCCAACCACTTACATGATGATGAATGGCCACGCTAGTATATGTTACCTAGCAGTATTTTCCGCTTTTTCAAAGTAAGCAAACATTATAATTACAAATATGAAAATTATTCCTTTTTAGAAGGTACTTGTACTATGGAGAGAATGGTTTTTAAAACTATATTTGGAAATATTTCCATTGTTCCATGATTTTGTTACTCAAAACAATGTCTATTTTTAAAAAGCCTATTTTTAAAAAGTCATTATCTACAAAGATTACAAAAGATTTGAAAACATGAAGACTGTTGCAACCAACCTAAATCTTTTGAACAAAGAGTTGGGAGTGGTTAAGCTTAACATATTCTGCACATATAAAAATTTAGCACTTTACAATTACTTAGCAAGGTAACTGAGATCAGGGGAGAAGAGACTATCAGTGTCAATTTAAAGAAAATTCTTTGCATAACTGATAGTTACAAGAATTAAATCAGTAGTAATTTAGCCTGGGATATAATTCTTTCATTAGGATCTCTGAATCTTTGCATCTTTCTTTCAGCCATGAAAGTGACTGAACTCAACTGTTAAGGGGAAATGAATTTAGAACCCTAACTGAATAGTTAATATTCAGGTATCACATCAAGATTGACCTTAATCCTTAACACAGCACACTAAAATTTAAAAATCAACAACAGCAAATATTTCTGCCTTGCTATTGTCATTTTTGTTGATATAAGTCATACTTTGATGACAGTAAAACAATCCTAGGTGTAGTCATAACTTATTTTGCCAATGATTCTGAAGTCAAACTATAAAACTGAAATATCACTATTTCTGGAGCTGGATGTGGTGGGCCACACCTATAACCCCAGTACTGTGAAAGATGAGGTTGGAGGATTGCTGGGAATTCAAGGCCAAATTGGGCTACAGAGTTGATTCAAGGCCAGGCTGAATTACAAAGTGAGACACTGTCTCAAAAAACAAAACACACACAACAACAACATAAAACACTTCTGCCTTCCCATGAGGATCAAATAACTCCCCCCCACACACACACCCATAGGAACAATGCCCAGCATAAATAAACAGTCAATACACATTAACTGCCTCCTCTTCATTCTTAGCTATGGCGTGTGAGGCTGTTAATTCTGACATGTCGGCTCCATTGGAAATTAGTATGCTCTTGGGTGTGGGTGGGTCGTGGAAGTGTGTTCTTGAGTTCTGTATGTTCCCTCACCTGTTCTTCTCTGGCCCCGTTCCCCTGCTCTGCTTAATGTCGTCCCAACATCCCCCTCCACCATGAAGTCTCTGCGTTGGAGCCTACCGACCTTGTAGTGAATTTCCTGAAATTGGGAGCTAAATTAACTTTCAGCCTTTAAGTTGGGTGTTGGGTACAACGAGAAAGCTGACTAATGGAGTATTTTATGAAGAAGCATAGGCTTAGGAATTAAACAGATTTGAATCCTCACAGTAATACCCAACAACTGTGTGACTTATTTAACACTACTATAAAACAAAAACGCCTGCCTTTTAAGGTTAATGTCAACTTATTAAAGAGTAACACACCGAAAGTCACTCTTCCTACAAAAGCCATTTTGTAAGTGTCTAGGGCTGGTATACAGCTCTGTGGTACTGGGCTTGCCTAGCATGTGCATGGCCCTCGCTTTGATCATCAGCGCTACCAAAAAAAAAAAAAATGAACGTTTAACCCTCATCATTGGAGATCATTCATAACTGTACCAAAGGCACAGAATCCTGGGTGGTTAAATTCGAAAATATCTATCAGAATTCCTATCTTCCGGTAAGAATTACACCTACACAGTACCCTAATATAGCACATGACGTGAAATGTATACTCCATTAATGTTTATTGAATTCAAATGAATTGCTATGTCACTATTACCTGGCTAATCATAGCAGCCTAGACTACTATGCTGTAGGATGGGTTACTCAAATAGAGCTCTTTAACAATCCTGCATACTTTCCCTAGTTTAAGTCATCTACATACTGATATATTATTCAGTTATTCTTATTCTCTCCCACAAACAAATGTCAGAACCAGGAGCTACCACAATTTAAGCCTTTCTACTGGGTGGCAGGTGGGAAGGCTGCCATTCCATTCTTCACAAACACAAAGTGGAACAGTGGTAAAGTACTATCCACTCGACCCACAGATGCAGGTACAGTCCTACATGGGGAAGTGAAACACGCATGAAACATTTGTAAGTCAGGATGAGTCAACTCACCGCCTCTGGATGACAAGCACAAAACAGGCTTTTAAAACGTCTGAAAATCACGGCTTCCGCGCTTTTGCAATGCCATGTGAAGCTAAGAGGCACAACTCCCCAGCACCCCACCACCATTCACAGGCTGGGAAGCCAAGCTGGCCTTGTAAACATACAATCAGGCAGACCAGGCAAACCGGACAAGGAGGCCTTCCCCTAACTTGCTTCCAGACGGCAAACGCTGTACTGAGTCAAACCAGGCAAACCCAAGGTCTGCAAGCAGCCAACTCAAAATAAGTAACTGGAGATTTTGACATCCCAACGGTCCTCTTCATTCGTAACCTTTCGGAATAGCATCCAATGAAACAGGGTCTGTCTGCCCCAAAACCCTGCGATCCCCGAAACCGAAAGGACAGGACCGGTCGCCTCCTTCCCTAGGCTCTTTTCAGCCCCTTCACAGACCCTGAAGCCCTGACTCTTGTCATTCTCCTAATTGAGGTGTGTAGACTCCATCACATCTGGTAAGTTTCTCAGACACGCGATGTGGGGGAGCAGACAGAATAAACAACACTCTGACACGTACCCCTAAGCCCCGCCACACTCAGGTCCAAACACTTCCCAAGGAGGGACTGACTGTCCCCAACCCCGGCGACAGTCACTCGATCGCCCTGGGGAAGAGAGCGAATCCCGCCAGGCCGGCCGCCTGCAGCTCTTACCCATTTGTCCAGGGGGACCTGGGCGAGGGATCCGGTTCCCTGATACAGGTCCAGGCTGAGCTGCTCCAGGCTCAGCTTCTCCTGCAGGAAGTGGCCCAGGTACCTCTGCAGGAGGTACCGACAGGCCCTCTTCTTGATGGACTCTGAGAACGGCCAAGGCATGGTGACGGCTGGCGGCGGCGGCAGCTCCGGTCCCGAGGTCCGGCCGGCGTCCGCAGGCCGCAGCGAGGTCTAAACCCAGGGCGGCCCCAGCATGCTGGCTCGGCGCTGTCGTCCCTCAGCGCGACCCCATCGCCCGCGCCGAGGCGACGGCGCTAGGCCCGATGGGGACCAGGCGCCGAGTAGGACCTGCCGCCTCTGCCGGGAGATTCCGGCGGTCCTAGTCGGCCCAGAGAGAGAGTGCAAGACACCGCGCGAGGGAAGACGGCAGAGTCAGTGGCTACACCTCCAACGCCGCCGCGCGACAAATTTGTTGTCATCTACCAGGCGCGCTCCCGACCTTAGGGACGCTCCCGGCGCGTTCGCGAGACCCAGACTTCCTGCGCGCCGGTCCGGCAGGCGGAAGTGACGCAAAACTGAGAGCCGGGGAGGCGGGGAAAAGGGCCCGGGCCGGTGCACTTCCGGTGGTGGGAAGGGGGGCGAGCGTCAGGGCGAAGGCGGGGCGGTGCCGCGGGTCGGCTCCAAACGCCTCCGGAGGGAGGAAGAGGAGGGCTTGGGACGCGCGCAGGTGAGCTCCGCCGGGAGGGCTGCGGGCTGCGGGCTGTGCGCTGCGGGCTGTGCGCTGCGGGCTGCGGGTGAACGGGGGCGGGCGGGCAACGAGATTCTCCGGGCGGGACGCGGCACAGCGGCGGGCGGTGAGGGGCGACGGGCAGGTGGGCCCCCGGGTCCTGCTGAGGGAGTCCGGGGGCGGATCCAGCCTGGGTGTTCGCGTCCAGCAGATCCCGGCCCCTCGGGAACAGGCGTTCTGTGCGCCGCCAGCCGCACTGCGAGGACTGAGCCCCTCTCAGGCATCCCAGCCCAGGTATTGACCGGTGCCTATTGTCAGCAAGTTGTCGTCCCCCGCTTCCTGCAGGCATTGTTTCCAGAGCTTGCTCTTCGCCGCTCTTCGTCTAGGGGTTTGCGGTTTGCAGAGCGCCTCTCCTATATGATTAGTTACTTTTCCTGGGTCGACTGCTCGAACGACCAAGAAACTTGGGGTTTCAAGGCATTTGTATGCAAAAGTACTTAACGTGGCAGATGGCCAAAGCCTCTCAACTCCGCGGGGACCTCGGTAAAGTAGGATTTGTGCTGTCCTGGGAACCTACGCACTCGAATTCTGCCTTTTAGGTAGCAAATCATGCAGAGGCGGAGCTGACTGTTGAGTTAGGCAACCCAGAGAGGCCCGGGTGCGGCGATCCGATCGGGAAGCCAGAGATCTTGGGTTAAACTCCTGACACTTACTAACCAAGCCACCTTGAACCTGCCACTGATCTCTGCTAACCTGCGTCTCTGTCTCTTCCATGTGTGAGCCCTATTAATCCCTTAGGTCCAAACTCTTAGAAAGATTAAATGGTGTAGGAAGAACGCAGACCTAGTCAAGGCCTGAAACAGACAGCTTTTAAATGAAGGGTAACTAATTCAGATAACGAGTTTAAAAAGTAATATTAAATGTCTTGGCAACCATTTCATGAATGCTAACATGGATTAGAAATATTGACAGATGCAGATCAGGTTCTGCTCTGCACAGCCGCCTTTCCATTTTAAAACCCGTGTGCTGGCTCAGACTCCCTGTGATCAATGATATATACATAGATAGATAGATGCCAGTAATTTTTTTTAAAAACACTAAAATAACTAAGACCAGTGTGTTCTCCACTACACATGGTTGTTGGATTTTTGATGCCGCTCATTCTTTGTAGACTTTCCCCAGGAACTTCAGTTCCCTTGCTTTTCTTTCAAAAATATATTCTAAAGGCCTGTTAAATAAGAGTTGCTATAGTTAGTGCTGTAGAAAGTGTAAACAAAATAACCATGCAGAAAGAAGCTAGGGCTGGGGCTCAGTGCTAAGAGTGTCTGCCTAGTGCAGGCTGCCTTGGATTCAGCCACTAGCACCAAGAAAAAAAAATCCCGAACCTTCAAGGAGCTGATATTTTAAAGTAGAAGGTCTGTTCATTTATCTAATATTTATTGATTTCCTGCTGTATAGCAGAAACTGCTACAGATGTTGGGGTCACAGCAGTAAACAGATTATATCCCCTTCTTCATGGAGGTTGCATTTCATTAAAGGGAGGGAAAACAGTCAAACTGAGTAATTCGCAAGTAGTGATGAATGCCATAGGAAAAAGTAAAGCAGTTGCTATAGTTTGGATCTTAAATGGCTCCCCAAAGATCATGTTTGGAATGCTGGTCCCTGACCTGTAGTGCCATGGGAAATGGTGGAAACTTCCGCGTAGTGGGAGAAAGCAGGTCACTGGAGCTATGCTTTGAAGAGTGAATTAGGATCCTGGCCGTTTCAGCTCTCTCTTTGCTTCTTGGCAGCCATGAGGTGAGTGGTTTTCTGAAACCATGAGCCAGAAGAAACATTTTGTCATGGTTATGTCTGTGGCCCCAGGCCTCATGAGTTTGCATTGCGCATTTGTGATGGTTCATTGTCTAGTGCTTGGATTGATGGTGTCAGTGCTCCACCCACATAGGGGTGGAGCTACAGGTGAGCACAGCAAGACCAGTTAGAAAATTGCAGTAATTCAGCCTGGAGCTCAGTGATTTGGACCAGAGTGGTTGCTTTGAAGGTGTTTGGATGGAAGCAGTTCTAGCTATATTTTAAAGATAATAAAACATGTTTGTAAGAACTAACTACAGTACTTTCCATAAAAGGAATTTAAACAAAACGATGTGAAAAGTCAAAAGGAAGAATCTCAACTGACAGTGAATTAGGACTTGGGAGGTTTAAACCAGACTTGACAAGCAGCCAAGACTGGACTTCTTTCAGTAACTGTTTAATAAGTGGTTTCCTTCGTAGTACAGTTACATTCAAGCTGCCCATTGGGTATCCGCAATTTCAGTTATGAGAAAGGAAAGTAAGGGGGCTGGGGATTTAGCTCAGCAGCATAAGCACCTGCCTTACAAGCAGGTAGTCGTGAGTTGGATCCCCGGTACCAGTAAAAGAAAAAAGACCAAAAAAAAAGAAAGGAAAGTAAAAATTGAAGATTTTGCAATAACAAATGCCTCCTAGTAAAAGCATTATGTGCCTTGTACATTTTATGCTTCTCATAAGCGAAATTCAGCATAAATGTTAGTGCCTGTTTGGTTGCATCTTTAGGTCACATAAGATAAAACGTGCAAGTCACAGTGCTGTTTTTGTGTTTTGTCAGAGACAGAATTCTGCTGGGTTTGGTGGTGCATTACTATAATCCCAGCTACGCAGGAGGTTAAGGTAGGAGGATCACAAGTTCAACATCACTCTGGGAAACTTAGATTTTTCTCGCAAAATAAAAATGGGCTGGGCTGTTGCCTAACATGCACTGAGCCTTGGTTCAATCCTTAGTACTAAAAAGGAAAAAAAAAGGTGCAAAATGCCAGCACCTAACAATAATTAGAGAATGAAAATAACTGCCCAATTAAATATTGTCAACTTTTTAAAAATTACATAAAGAAGTTTGAAGTAGCAGGTTAGAAGAGAGATACCGTAGACTAATGAGTCATGCAAAAATAATTGCCCTTTTGGCTGGGGATTTAGCTCACTGACTCAAGCGCTTGCCTGGTAAGTGGAAGGTAATAAGCTTGTGGGATCCCTAAAAATAAACATAATTGTCCTTCACAGAAATCCATGTAAAGGAATCAACATGTGAAAGAAAAGGCAACCAGGTGTCATTGACCTTTTTTAAGATTTACAGCTAAGGAGAATGAGCTCCCAAGTTCCAGGACTCTTGGAAGAGTCCTGCAGAAAAGCAGGAGCAGCCGCAGCTACATCCTGCATAAAAAGCACCCAACTTAAGAGTCAAGCACCGTGAGTTACATACTCAGTGCTTTCTTCTAGAAACTGTTTTCAGTGTGTAACAGCTAACACGTCACATTCCTTGAACTTTGCAGGTGCCTAGCGCCAGTGTAAGTGCTGACTGTGTTCAGTTCTTTGTTCTGTGCATATTCCTAAGGCAGATGTTACTGCAAGCTTCGCCTTAGAGAAGACAAATAGGTAACTGAGAGAGACTGTCCTGAGTTGCAGGGTAGCCAAGTGACCTAGCTGATGTTCCAGGCTGCTTGAGAGGCCCTTGACCACCACACTGTGCTGGCCACTTCTTGTTCACGGTGAAAGGATTTTCCAGACCATAGTGTGAGGTACAAATAATAGTAATTACGATTAAGACGCTGCAGTCCCAGCCCTCCACTGATTGTTACAATGTCAGCTAAAAAGTCAGGCTTTCTTCTCTACTGAATACTAGTGATTGCTGGACGACTCCTGGACTCTTTCTTGTCAGACCATATATACAACCATCACTCCGTCCGTTCTGTCTTGAAGAACGAAGCAGACCTCCCCAGTTTTTCCAGTTCTTTCATGCTATAAATTTGTGACGAAATAGAGTGAAGTCGAGTAAGCTAAGTAATTTGGTAGTTAGTATCTTAATAATGGTTTCATGAATCCTCTAAAAACACAAAAGAGCACAGCCCAAAAATTTTACCAACAGATGAGAAAGAGCTAATTGCTAAATAATTGATGTGTGGTGTTTTAAGGAATCATTTTGAAGCTGTGCAGGAGGCGGTGCAGTCTACCAGGATAAGGGAGGGACGGCAGCTGGAAGGAATTCGTGTTTGAAGGTTCTGACACCAGCATGTTGTCCCCTAGAGAACCAAGGCCTGAGTGGCCGCAGTTAGGGTTTCTGTTTTACATCTCTGTTGATTTGTTCTGTGGTGGTGAGAATGTGTTGTACTAAAGTTTTGTGCTAATTAACCCTTACTTCTTATGGATTTATATAGGAAGGAAAAAACGAGTTTGCCAGTTTCTGGTTTTTAAAGCAGAAGTTGAGAGGTTTTCAAAGCATTTGACTGTTCTCTGACAATCTTACTTACAGTTTTTTGTTCTGAAGGAAAGGTTTACTGAAATACAGCGTTGCTCCTCCCTACAGTTTTAAAAACTTCCCAAATTACTCCAGGTATGTCTTCACCCTTAGACATGCCCGCATCAACAAAAGCCCAGTGCCATGCTGGTGGCTTGGTTTGTGATGCATAAATAGAAAAGTGTGTATTGAGTTCAGATTTTAAATTTTTCATTTCAAAACTGCATATCCCAGAACACTGAAAACAGACATAAATGTTACGTATTACAGAAAAAAAGGTTAAACCAAGTTTTAGCTTTGACAAAATTCTAAATGCTATTAATCATACTCTATGCATCTTTGAATTTTCAAAACGGCTGCTTCAGGTATAACCCATTTAGGCTTCTTGGAGTGAGGCTTGTATATAACTGAAGCAGTGCTTGTCAGCTGCCTCCCTGCGGGTGGCAAACCTTCTCCCGTGTTCGGGTTCGAGTTCGGTGATAGAGCAGCCCGCTGCAGCACAGGCTCTGAGGTGCACCACTGCCGGCCTCACCTCTCCAAAACACAAAAAGTCTGCTTCCTGCACGGCGTGCTTTCCAGGAGTTTACAGAATTTTAATCGCCTTTTCTTTCTGAAGCCAAACTAAATTCTCATCGTACCATAGAAAAATTAGGGTACAAAAAATTAAAACTATCATTAATTGCTTATCGCAAAATAAATGGCATAAATGAACAGAGTTACAGCCTTAGAGATGCCTAACTCAGTATTAACCTTCCACCTACTGCTTCATCTGTCTGTAACTTTCTCCTGCCACACACAGTGCTTGACATTTCCACCTTTTTTAGTTAACTCCTTGGGTTAGTACTTTTCAAACTTACTTTTCACTCATATTCCTAGCAGAAGGCAAAGGAGACTCTAGAGGTTTAGGTATGCAACCTAAAAAGAACGTGGCTTGAGATTTCCAAATATTTTCTGTACTTTTGGGGTTTTTTATTCAAAGCAGTTTAGCATC